CTGAACAGTTCTGGCAACAGGGGCTGGATCGGGGGTCAGCGTCCATCCTCCCAGCAGCCTTTCCTCTGGTCACTGCAAAGCTGCACGACGGATCATTTTGTTCATTCTTGTGACATTCTCTTGATAATTGGTTCATTCAGCAGCCTCGGAAGATAAAGTTGCTTTGAGCAAGCCGTGAAAACAAAAATTGTGTTTCTGAATTCACGCCTTTGTAATTCCCCAAGAGAAATAAGGTTGTCAGATGGGGACTTAGCATTATCCCAGGGATAAAGATACTGGCTGGTAAGCTTGGCCTAGAGGAATGGTTATTGGTAAATAAACATCTTGGGAGTGAGTTGCGTTATCCGAGAGATTGGATACCAGGAAGCTGGTTTAGCTCAGAGGATTTTTATAATGGATTAAGGAAATTCTGTAAATAAAAATGTCCTGCTCTTGGAGTAACTCAAAACACTTTGCCTGACAAAATTTAAACCCCTCAAATAAATAGCGTGGTTCTAGTTTGCTTTGGAGATCTATCCTTGGTGTTACATTAAAACTCTGCTCTTGTTTCCTCTTCCACACAAGTGAGCAAGAACGGTATTAGTAGTCACACACACTTCTGGAGGAGAGCTGCTGCTTTCCCACAGTTCAGTGCCTGCTTCACAAATAGGGAGTTTTTTTTAATTGCCTGGCATGCCTGACGATGTAAAGCTTATCAAGATGTTTGCTTACCAAGACACTCGTATGGAGCTCAGCACCGGTCACAACGAAAGCTTGTTACCAACAGCCAGGCTTGAAAACTGCCACTCTCATAGACCGCGATTCTGCAGATGCTTCTGCCTGTGCTCGCAGATATCCACAGTTAAATCCCTGAGGCCAGTGGATTCATCCCAGGCATCAAGTTAAGCAGGCATGTGTTTAGCGGGAGTAAAGGTTTCTTCCAAGGATCAGCTTTGTTCCAAGGCCTGGCCCTGTGCCACAACAGGGATTCTGCTGTCCGACAGCGATGCAGGTAACAGAAATGTTTGCCCCACTGGTGTCTTGAAATGCTTCTGCCCTTTGCTGGCTCCTCTGCACACCTCGAGCCTTGGCTGGATGCTCTTCCTCGAGCCGAGCCCTCAGCCCTGGGAGCCCTGTGTGCAGAAGCAGGCTCTGGGGTGTCCTGAGCTTGCGCCCGCCCTGTACGTGTCCTGCTGGGTGGGGTGGCGGGACGACTCCTGCTCCTCCAGATGGGAACCCCTTGGGTTGCACACTCTGCATAGATAAAGAAGTGAACCAGAGGTTTGGTTTGAAATGTCTGATGGAAGGGATCTGGGGAGATGTGTGTCTTTGGGCTGCTTTCCTGCCTTTCAGTCAGGCACATGGGACACCGGTGGGAATTCTGTTGTTGATTTGTGACAGGTTTTTTTCTGGTTTGGAGTCATCTTACCAGGAAATGTGACCAGCCTAGGTTATTTCCCATTTCCCCTCTTACATTCAAATTTAGGAGCTGTGATTACCATGTTAATTTTCACCGTCAGAACATGTGGCCCTATTTTACATCAGAAGGAATTTCCTGTAGATGAAGTTCTGATAAAGTTGCATTAGTGGTAGAGATGGAGACTAATAACTGTCGCTTGTAGAATGGCTGGCTGTTGTCACCTGACCGTACAAGGAGATAAGACAAAACTATCCAGAAAACAAATGCATCTTTTTGTAACCCACACTTCATTTTTACGGCATTATTAAATTCCCTTGGAAGGCTTTCAGCAGAATTGGTTATTGAATTCAAAAGCCTGGCAGTTGTCGTATTTTTCCACATACGTTTTGATCTGATCTGTTTATCTGATTGTTTCAGATGTGATGCATCGAGCGCTGGCTCCCAGTGCTAGCGGTTGCAAAGTTTCAGCAGTTACTTCTGATCACGTTTGGGCCTTTGGCTTCATTCCCTGCGGAGCCTCAAACAGGTACCGTGCTGTAATTAGGAATCCTCTCAATCAAGCACCCCAGCGTTGTAAATGCTTTTGTTTAGTGCAAGCCAGCGAGTGTCAGACCAGTGCTTCATTGTGAATAGGGAAGGCGTAGGGGGAGTGAGGAATGCACGCCCCTGGGAATCGGGTAGGCATAAACGCTCTACTTCGAGATGTCTCAGCCAAACGTCATTTCTCTCCGCAGGCTTTGCTGGCCATTCTTTTTCCAGAATAAATTGTGCGTTTTCCATGGCTGTGAAGCTTTGTCACAGCGCATCCCCGGAGCAGGATGCAAGCCCCTCCTCTGCAGTAAGCGCACCTCTGGTTTTCTTGCCCTCTTCGCAAAGCCCCATGTGAAACCAGACTTGGATGCTCCGCGTTCCGTACTGTTTTCCAGAGGGTTAATGCTTTTGAGCCTCAGTCTGGTCGGGACTTGCTTCCTCAGGGGGGTTTCTGTTTCCAGGTGCTTTCTCCATTTGTGCACAGAGTTCAGATTTTAACGCCGCCTTCCATTCGTTACACCATGATCGCTTTGACTTTAAAACCAGCCAGGGTTTCAGGCTATGGGAATGGGGCCATCAATTGAAACGAGGACAGGGTTTCTCTGCTCTCACGACGTGCCGCTCTGGAACGTGGAGTTACTGCGTGTAGTCCAACATTTGGAAAACCCATCCCTCCACTGCAAAAAAGGTCTCTCCAAGTTTTTTATCCCTGCTCCTGATTTCTCACTATTTTTCTTATTTTCAGCGGGACTCTCTCCCTGCTGGCAAAGGGGAAATCTGGGATAGTTTTTCCTGCTGGGTGAATGTTCTTGGTGGAAATCTTCCTTGTTATTTCTCTATCATGAGGATTTCCTTTGATACAAGCGTGCCGGGGTAGGCCACACAGCAGATGTCTGGATATTTAAAATTCTTCCTGAGCGCTGTAATCTGTAATCTCAAGAACCAGCAGTGTAGAGCCAGGAGCTGTTGGTTTAGTTCTGCTTCGAGAAGGATTAATTCCCACCAGATATCCTGAATTATTTCACCTTTTGTCTTTCATTCTTTTTCCTGTCAAACAATTCATCCGTTTGTCATCTTTATATGGTCGCTGATAACACTGGAAATGGTTCAGGTGTAAAATGAGCCCCTCTG